TTTCATGTGAGGCTTCACAGCTTCCAGTTCAAATGCCAATTCTAACTGTATATAAGTATAGACTTTGGGTCTGGTTGATGTTTGATGAATGGATTGGTTTTTGTTTTGTTTTGTATTTGCTTTTTTAAAAAAGACTTATTTTAATTTTATGTCTGTGTGTTTGTCTGTCTATATTGTAAGCATGTGGCAGCTCTGATGGGATGGGGTGGGCATGGATTCTGGTACTCGGGAGCTATAGAATACTGAGTTACAGCTCAGATGGAAAAATATTCAGGTAATCAGGAGCCAAGGAAAACTACAGGTCACAGTAAGTGTAGCAGCTTACAGCCCTGCTCCAGGGAAAGGCTTCCCCAGTGTATTAGCTCTGCTCCTGCAGGAGAGGGCTTCTCCAGTGAAGTTGTTACAGGCTGGCTCAGGTTTCCAGAGTGTAACAACTCTACATCGCTAGGGGAAGGTTTCAGCCCTGCTCCAGTAGCTTCTCTCCTATGTTCCATTCCAGTGAAGGAAGGTCTCACCCAAACCTCATTTAAGAGATTTATTGGGAGGGAAGAAACCAGGAGAATGCTAGCAGAGGCTAGCTAGGCAGCTGGACAGACACAAGTTGAACAGATACACAGATTACATAGGGCTTCTTAGGTGTGGAGTTTTTCCAGGGTGGGGATTGGTCAATTTTCAGTCCCTGAGTTCAGATTGGCGAAATCTTGTGCTCAGGGACATATTGGTTTTCTGTTTAGTCAGATTTGGCTCTTGTTTCAGGGCCAAAGTGTGTTTCTTTTACTGGTCCTTTTTAGCCTTTTGATTCTAATTTTAGGGCCAAGGGTGTATTTCTTTCTTTGGCTCTGATTCCAGGGACAAAGTGTGTTTCTTTGGCACTGGATTCAGAGTCAGGGTGTATATCTTTGGTTTTGGTTGCAGGACGAAAGTATGTTTCTTTGGCTGTGCTCAGGATGTATTTCTTTGGATGGCCCTTTTTCCTTACATATATGTCTATGTATCACATGTATGCAGTGTCCCTGAAGGGCAGAAGAGGGTGGTAACATCCCCACAAACTAGAGTTAGAGACAGTTGTGAGCCACCATGTGGGTGCTGGGAATTGAACCTGGGTCCTTTGGAAGAGCAGCTAGTGTTCTTAACTGTTGAGCTATCTTTCTAGCCCTTTATTTGCAAGCTATTTTAAATAATAAAGTTTATTAAAAATAGAAATGTTTTAATAAAAAAAAGCAACGAGAAAAGAAAAAAATTAAAAATGCTTGTGTTAGTGGGCATGTCTGAATTCACTCTAGACTCTTGTGTCTCAGAATTAAAGACCACACCAGGGACACATAAACTTTAGATAGGGAATACTCACAGGAATGAGAATGGGTTAGTGGGCTAAAGAGCCCCCAAAACATCCACCAAGAAGTGTAGAGCTCTTTATAAGACCTTTCCATCACCCCTACCTTTTGTACTTTGCTATGCTGTGGGCTTCTCCTGCACATGCTCTGTTTATTAGATGATGTCCAAATAAGGAAGGGTTTCTAGTGTTGCCTGGGTTTGCTCAGGTGGAGAGGGTATTGACATTTCAGTCTCAAGTCTCTACTCTTCTGTCACTGGAGCCCTTGGGACTGAGGGGAGGCAGCTAATTTCCTATTGGGCAGGGTACAGCTGGCAGAGTCACACTGGGGAAACCCTGAGCAGTGATTACTAATTAGCAGTAATAGCAGGAAGGGCTGGGCTCCCCTCCCTGGCCTTTCCTGCCTTAAACTTCAGCAAATTAAAACTTAAATCTGGACAGCTCCTCTTCCTGCCTCAGGAAGTGAAACTTAGCCCCTGGCACTTGCCTTTCCTTCAATTCTCCCTCCTATCAGTGGTAGCAATCAGGAAATTAACTGCCATAGCCTTTATTTTCCCTAATGTCACTCCTAGAATCTAGGTCTCTCTGACCACCTTTCTCTTGGAAGGAATCAGACCAGACCACCACCTGCCCCAGGTTTCAGCCCAGAAAGGATGCTGCCCTGCAGACTAGAGCAGAGGGTTGGACCAGACCACAAGTGACCTCAACTCTTGAGACTTGTGGCACCTCCCCATCACAACAAAGGAGCTAAGTCAAGACAAGGAGCAACCCAGAGCTTGTTAGGTGACCCTGTCACTGCTGGTGCCATTTTGGCTCCCACATCCTAGGAGTCTAACTCAGGGTCCTCCCCACTGCTTTGTCACTAATTCTCAGACCTGCTGGGGTCACAGGCCATTGTCCCTGGGAATATTACCTAGATCTGTCAGGAACACCACTGTGGATACTGTTGACAGCCCAAGCTTCCTGTAGAAAACTGAGTTCTACATTTCTCTGTTGCCTTTCAATAGTCTTGTAACAAAGTAATTTTCTGTCATCCTGTGTTGCAGGAATTTTGTCATCATTCCTTTAGCCAATTGTAAGGAACAGCTTGGCCCAAAGATTGGAGGGTATGTGACCTGAATGCCTGAATAAAAAGCCAGGGTGGGGCAAAGGACCCTCTCTTGGGCTGGGTAAGCCATGGGAGCACTTACTGTTGGTGTCTTGGTTCTCGTCCCCTTTTGGAATGCAGTGGTAGGTGGCATTAGCAGAAACAGTGATGGTGTATCTGCTGGTCCCATGGAGGCAGCACCTTCATTTTGCCCTTTGAGTGTAGTACTTTGATTCCTGACTTGTCTGTGAACAAACCTTACGTGACCTGTTTGGCTTCCTTCATCATGTGGTGCCCAGTTTGTGGCCTGAGTCCACATGGCTTGAACACACCCTTCTAGGGCACACTTATTGCATGCCCAAACCCTAATTTTTAAAATCCTTGCTCTGGAGCATTGAGCAGCAGTTGCACCTATGAGAAATTGTAGTAAATACACTCAGGAATACAGTCCAGTGTAGGTGTGAGATGCAAACCCCCACCTTGTGTTCCTGTCTCCCTGGACAGAGACACTGCCCTAGATAGGGTCTGGTCCTGTAGCTTTGTCAAGACAGGGTAGGACAGTCCTTCAAATTTTCCTGCTTTTGAAAATGGTCTGTCAGATATTCTAGGCCTATAAGCCAAAATTGGATGTCACAACTTCACAGAAAAACCTTGGTTGACTGTCCAGGCAGCCAGTTGTTTCTATCCTTTCTTACAGTTTTTTGTAAGTCACTTGCTTGCAGTTCCTGCGTGTACTCAGGTAATATTATTTTTCTTCTCAGGTTTTTGATGGGGTCAAAGACTAGATATTACAGTTACAATCCTTCCAAATCTTAGCTAAGGACATATTAGGTATAAAATTTAGACTCTTCAAGAAAGGACAACTACTGAAGTACTCTGTAATTTGCCAATTGCCTATGGTTGGACATCTAGAATGTGTTTCTTGATATTATTCCTATTGCTTATAGTTTCATTTTTGTGTCGGTTATTACCTTTTCTTTCTTCTGATCAACATTTGGTAATATTTCTTATTGTATATAGTTTTATATTAGGATTTGAACCTTCTTAATTAGATAAAAAGGGGGAAATGTTATAGGAATTTTTGTAAGCAGTAGCTTGGCCCAAAGGATGAAGTTTTCATTAGAGGGTCTGTGACCTGGATACCCAAATAAAAGGCCAGGATGGGGTGAAGGACCCTCTCTTGGGGTAGGCAAACTGGCCACAATCCATGGTTGCACTTGTGGCTGGTGACTTAGTTCTCATGCCCTTTTGAAATGAAATAATGGTGGCAGCAGCAGCAGAAATGGTGATGGTGTGTCTGAGGCAGCAGCTTCATTCTGCTGTGAGTCTATTACCTCAATTCCTGATTTGTCTGTTAATAAATCTTATGTGACCCCCATTTGCCTTCATTTGTCCTGAGTCTCAAAGGCCCCATAGTTGCCTTCCTGACAAGCTTTCCCCAGAGCTTGTCCTTTTTCACTAAGAGCCTGGGCAGACCCATCTGGGATGAGACTAGCTCCTTCCTATGACACCTTCAGGGTATATATAGGTCATGGAGTCCTGGTCTTGAGAATCATGTCACTGACAAAGCTACTGCCTTCCTGGACTTCTGAAGTCCATCCTGCCCCTTGATATCTCCATGCTCTACCCCACTGGGTAGTATTCCTAGGACACTGATGTCACCATAGTCAGGAACTGTGTGGATCATATTCAGTTGTAGAATCGCCCACCAGGCCAGAGACTTGGGGAAATCTGAGAAATAGCCTCCTTAGGCACCCAGACCCATGAAGAGTTGCTTCTAGGTCTGTCTCCATTAGTCTCTTGTCCCTCAACACCCACAGCAGTGAACCCCATTAAGCCAGGTATAGTGGCAACTGCTTGTAAACCCAGTACCTAGAATTTAAGTGAAACCCTGCTCCAGAAACAAAAAAAAAAATGTCTTAGAGTCAAGTGTGATGGTACATACCTTGCAGAGGCAGACTTAATGCAAGTCTGTGGGTAGCTGGTCTAACATAGTAAGACCTTGTCTTAAAATACCAGAAAAAAAAAAAAATGGTTTGTGTGTGTGTTGGGGGCGGGGGACATACCAAACCAAATTGGGTGGAAAAAACAAAACAGCCAGTTATAGAGTAGATACAAATCATTTGCCTGGCCACACTTTTGTGGCTTGGAGTACAGTGTGGTTTGTGAAGGACAGGTGGCATACAGCAGGCCTCTGAAGTCCCTGGTATACATGAATAATATGTGACCAGCCTGGAGGGCCCACCTTCATGGGTAGCTGTGCTTACACAGCCCGGGACAACATACTTTCATGTTCTCTCTCTTTTCTTTCTCCCTCCTCCTTTCCCTTCCTTTCTCTTGGACCCATCCCACTAATGGGCCTGGATTCCTGGAATTCACTATATAGGCCAGGCTGGCCTCACAGATAGCTGCTTCTGCCTCTCTAGCATTAAAGGAATTTATCACCACACCAGGCTGGTCTTTCAAGATCTCCTATGCAGAGCTGTGGACTTACAGGATCCCCAGGTCTCTCCAAACTGGAGGGGAGAGAAGACTGTGCAAGGAGAAAGAGGAGTAAGGACATCCAGAACAGGGCAGGAATGGGTGGGAATAGTTTATTTGAGGCACTAGAATAGCAGCAGGAAACCAGTGTGGGCAGAGAGGACAGGTAGGGACTCAACTGGATCTAGGGGTGGAAGCCTTCATTGGGAGATGCAGTCCTCTATGCAGCCTCCTAGAGCGATAATGCCAGGAGAAGGAATTTTGGTGGAGACAGAGGCCTTCCCCTCTAGAATCTTCCAGGTCCCGTTTGCCCATCTCAGATTCCAAATGGCTTCATTCACACAAAGATGCACTGTGCATACAGGTGTATATTCATTTGGGTAGACTCCCTTGTCAGTGTGTCCATAGGACACACTGGTACTGACATTGGTACTCTGAAACTCCAAGGAAGGTTTTTACTCCTTTCCTGGTTCCCAAAGGAGGTTGCAGGATCGGCTCTGGACACAAGAGTAGCTAGTCCCTCTTCAACAGACCAGATGTGCTTAGCCCAGATGCTGAGAGAGTGTGGAGGGGGCTAGACACACACAGAAGAAGCTGAAGGCTCTTAGGACCCCTAGCTTTTCTTCCTGAGCTGGGGGGGGGGGATGTGGGGAACATATGGGGATGGTCAGGGGTCCAGTTGCAGCAGAGCAAGCAAGCTGAGCAAGAGTCCAAAGCCTAGGAGTGGGATACTAGCTCTAAGCCCGAGGCCAGCTGTGCTGATATTGCAGAAGGAATGTTGACAGCAGTAGCTATTCACAGATGCCACACCTAAGTTGATATTGACATTCTCTCGAGGGCAGATTTCAGAACAGCCCTTATTCAGGGTGTAGCCAAGGTTGACATTCCCTGTATGGAGAGTGAGATTGAGGGGTTAGACATAATGGGCACCAGAAGATGGGGAAAGTGCTGTGAATCCCTGGTCCAGGCAGGGAGATGGCTAGTTACTCACCAAAGCCAGCAGCAGCAGATACTGTGACACAGTAATTGTCTGAGTTCGGGCATATAGTTGGCCATAGACATTTCAAATTGCTCTTCTGATTGGTACAGGAGAAGCATACCAGGGAATGGGCTGCAAAAAGGATAAGTTATAGGGTGCCCACTCCCTGGGGAAGTCTTTCAGGGAAGGGTACTACTGTTCCAGTTGGGAGGGTGGGGGGTGGGGCAGGACTTGAACCCTTTGCTGACAATGAGCAACCACAACATGCTCAACCCTGGGTCAGAGACAAACAAGATGACAAGTGACATTAGACTTTGGTCCTACAGGGGCTAAAGTGTCTCCTTAAACACAAGGTGACAACAGTGTAGCTGGGCCAGCACTGAGGCAGGGGAACTAGGTCATTTTGCTAGGGAGTGGGAGGTAGGAAGGCCCGAAGTTCACATTGGCTCAGGAGCAGCTCTGGGAATCCGCTCAGGGGAAATAAGAAGGAAGGTCAGGAGGAAGGCAGCCAGGCTGCATCTGGGGTCTCAGTGCTCATACCTTGCTCTACACCCAAAAGGGCTGCCAGCAGTACAGGCAAGAAGACCCTCATGCTGGAAGTGGCAGACTTCTGCTAAGAGCTCACAAGCCAATGAAGCCTGCTGTGAGAGAGGCAGTTGGTTAAGGTATAGGCTACCCACCCACAACCCAAGATCCTGGCTTAGATAGTACCACTCCACACCTCCCCAGTGAGTCTCCTTTGTAAATGCCCCCAGATAGGGCAGGAAAGCAGTATTAAAACCCCCTATTGGCCTGAGGCTAGCCATTGAGACAACTTGAGTTATTGCCCAATTCCTTATCTAGTGCCTTCCTAGCCTCTGCACCAATCAGAAGAGCAATCTGTACTACCCAAAGCCAACCATATGCTACAATCACACTTATATACACCACATGTTATCTGAGAGCCCTCCTCCTTTTGAAACCTCTGGGAGCCAGAATTTTCTTTGTCCCATGGGCTGCTAATCAAATCACTACCTCACTAGACCTGTCCCCTTCTGCTGTTATTGTGGCCAATTATTAAAAGAGCTTTTATCTGACATCCCTTTTGGCATCTGCAGAATCTTTTTCAAAATTCAACTACTGGTACCTTCCAGCTAACACTCCTGCCAAAACTTGGGGGGTACCCAAGGTCAAGTAAGGGGGACCAAGAACTCTCAGAATGCTATAGAAGTGTGTGTGTCAGGGGTGGGGGTGGGAGGTTAGGGAGTAGACTTAAGGTCAGGGCAGTGGTCTGTTAAATGAGCAAGCATGAACCCTAAACCTTCCTTGGGTCCTGTGAAACAAATGCAGGCCATTCCTGGAGGGGCTGAAGCATAAGCACTGTGGCTTGGATATAAAGGAGCCACTTACAATCCTGCTCCGTGTAACGGAACATCTCCCCTGCTAAGGGAAGGTTTCCTCAGGGAAATGTTACAGCCCTGCTCTGCACCAGCAAAACGTTGTTACTTCTCTTCTCCACTCCATTCGGGCAAAAAAAGGTTTCACCCAAACCTCATCAGAGATTTATTGGGAAGGAAGAATCCAGGGGAATGGCTGCCCTCTGCCAGGGTGGTGAAAGGCAGCAGCAAAGTGAACGCGCACATACAGGGTTTCTTAAGGGGTGGAGTTTTTCCAGGGAGATTTTTCAGGGTGGGAATTGGTTAGATTTCAGTCCCATGAGCTCAGATGTCATGACTTTTCTGCTCAGGGATTGGCTCATTTTCCTGCTCAGGGACTGGCTGGTTTTTCTGCTTAGTTGGTCAGGGGCAGATTTGGCTTTGGTTTCAGGACCAAAGTGTGTTTCTTCATTGGTCCCTTTTAGCCTTTTGGCTCTAATTTCGGGGTCAGGGCTTATTTCTTTCACTAGCTCTGATTCTATGGCCAAAGTGTGTTTCTCTGGCACTGGTTTCAGGGTCAGAGTGTGTTTCTTTGGCTCTGGTTGCAGGGCCAGAGTGTGTTTCTCTGGTACTGGTTTCAGGGTCTGAGTGTGTCTCTTTGGCTCTGGTTGCAGGGCCAGAGTGTTTATTTGGCTGGCTCTTTTTCCCTACATGGATGCCTCTGGGCTTTGTCATTTCCTCCTGTACTAGGTGGGAGGGAACTCAGGACCCATTTCCAGAAGATAACTCCATTCCACAATAGGCAGCCAGGTGGCCATGGGGCTTTTCTGGCCCTTGAGCAGGAGTCTGTGGCAGTATAAGAGAAAGTTGGGGAAAGGACCAGCTCCCTGTGTTTCAATGCCCTATTTTGAGTACCACTGATCTCCTGTGGAGGGAGTACACTGATGGCATCTGTTGAGTGGGAGAGGGGCATTCCAGAGACTGAGAGGATTAGGGGGTGGCTTACAGACTTGGGGAGGTCTTCTTAGAGAAAGGGGGTGCAGTGGAAGATGAAATTGTGGTGTCTTTTAGGACCAGCCTTGGGCTTCTCCTGTCCTAAGCAGCTAACATCTTGTAGTAGCAAAAACCCCAGATGGTCAAGTTCAGTGCCAAGCCCAGCTGGGCCTGTTCTCTCTTCCTGGCAGTACACACAGGGAAAAGAGAGTCCCCTGTCTTTTCTAGACACAGTGAGGTTTTGGAACGAAAGAGCCCTGAGCCCTCTGCTAGGAAGCTCCGGCATTCGTGGCTACAAACAGGTCACGGAGGCAACTCACTGTCCACAGGAGGACTCACAGCACGACCAGAATAGCTGAGGAAAGGTACCAGAGGAGTGGTTGGAAACTAGTTCAGTGCGATGAGTCTATGATGAGTCTGTCCACAGCTACGGTTTCCAAGCCACCGACCGGACAGGGCAGGGCCGCTTGGGGCCCAGGAACTTCTCAAACTCACAGGGCAGGCAACCAGCCAAGGAAGGAACCTGTTTAGGTCAACCGAGCTAGCCAGGGGATAGGCACAACCTCTCGAACCTCCACATTGATATGCAAAATCCTGGACAAAGACAAAGAGCTCCCGGTCCTAACTCTGGGGAGGGTCCTGCCTCTGGGCAACCAATCCGCCTTGATGGAGGGCCCCTGCTACTCCTCCTCTAGTTTACAAGGGTGTATCCCTGGAGATCCCAAGCAGACAAATCAGCACTGGTGGAGTTGAGAAAGGGAACCCAGTGAGGGCTCAGCAGGGGCCTTTGCCCTTTTCTGCTCCTGATTTCCAGGAACATTCCGGGAGGATGGGGGATTGGGGGGGGGGGCTGAGAAGAATGGAGCACGCTGTAGGGGGCCTCGCCGGCTCCAACCACTCCGCACCCGGGTACCCAGCGCCCAGACTCCAGACGCTGCAGCCAAGGCCGCTAGCTCTCTCCCAGCGCATCCCCGCTGTGGCCCAGTCCTCACGTGACGGGTGACCGCCTGGGGCCAGGCCCCGTGGACTCACCTCTGGGGGAAACGACCCCGACGAGTTCCGGAAACCTCAGGTCCTGGAGATCGCAGAGTCTGGAGATTCCTAGGCAGGTGGAGCCAGGCTCCGATGGCGGGGGCGGGCGGCGGGCGGGGCGTTATACGGGCTGTAGGCGGGTCTCTGGTGGGTGGGGAGGACAACTCGGACTACCCAACTCGAGGTCCTGCGGCTGCGCCCCTGGTCTAGCAGCACAGCCGCTTATCTGAGGTTCGGATCTCAGTTCCTACCCACGGCTACGGTTCCCAGGTCACCGGTGGACATCCAGAAGTCGGGCGGGGACCGCCTTAAGTGCCCCACTCCACACAGTGTGGCGTCTGAGCGCTGGCGTGGCGGGCCTGGGTTCTGCCTGTCTGCCTTCTCTTGCAGGACAGACCTGGGAAGGGTGGAAGGTCCAGGTTTTTGCGGCAGTTAGTGATACTAGGACCTGTGCGCAAGCTCTGTTTGCTTCCGGAAGGAGTGAGAAGAGAATGCCCTAGGCTCTCATGGGAATCTCTGCTGCCTCTGGGACTAAGTCCTGGACCTCTGACCCTACTAGGTGTCAAGTCTCTCTGGGTTGAGCCTGTCGGGGCCAACCCTCTCTTGGGGTGAGGCAAGAGGATAGGGTTTCGGGGAAGGAGACCATTGCCACTGGTTTGGACAGATCTGGTTCTCAATACCCCTTCCTCTGGGTTCAGGGCTGCCTTTTAAACTCCACTAGGTGGTTATGGAACTGAGGCTCCAGAACACAGTCAACCTGTCTTGGCTATCATCCAAAGTGATGAAGCTCCAATTTTTATAAAGAAACCCCCAGCCCTTCTGTTTTTAACTAAGCATCTTTCAATATTCTGTTCCCAGTGCTCAGGAAGTATTTTCGTAACCAACAAATATTAACGACCACCTGCTGAGTGTGGGCCCTGTAACGGGACCCTGGGGCCCATGTCCTGCTTATGGTCTCTGGGGGAGACCAGTGCACAAAGAGCAGGCCCCTTTGCCTGACAGTGAGGTTTCTCTCCCCCTTCCTTCTTCACCTTCCTCCTGCAGAACCCTGCCCAGGGTACTATGGCCTCTGAACCTCTGCCACATGCTTTTCTGAGAGTCACACTTCCATTTTTGATGCACATGTGGAAATAAAAGGTTTTGCACCTGATCTTCTTCACAGTCTAAGGAGTTCATGGTGGTGACAATGGCTGGCACTAAGAAGGAGCTTCACAGGATTGGAGTTAGGGCAGAGGTAGGGTGGCAGGAGAAAGACAAAGTTTGTGAAGCTGGATGGTAGATTGGCCAGGGTAGGGCTGAGACCAAGATGTCTTGGAAGCCAGCTGTTGGAGGTGGGGGGGGGGTCTTAGGAGCATATTCAGTGTGTGTGTCCAGTGATGTGAACACAGTGTATTGATATGTGTCTTCTGAGGTCTCCTTGCCTCCAAGGATGCCCCTCACAGATCATCCCGTACTTCCAGCTATTGGTGGGGGCACACATGCTCCTGCTGCTCATTTCTCAGGAGCTAAAGATGAAACTCGGTGTGTGTTTTCAGATGTTCAGGCTACAGTGTGGTGACATTTGGTGGTTTTGGGAATCTGCAGTTTGGGGTGATGTCCTAGCTGTCCTCAGGACAGAAGCCATCCAGCAGGCAATAGCCAGGCTGTTGCTCAGCGTCTGGGGTTCTTGGCTTTCTGTTCCCTTCTTGGTCTCACCTGGGGGCAGGACAGGTGTTGTTGCTCCTGCTGGAGTTCATTCTCGCCTCAGCTAATGGCCTGTTGGGCAAAGAATTGCCCCCACCTTGACCACTGATTTGGACATGCAGTCCTATGTGCTTGCAGGAGACAAATATAGAAGACTGCTTGACCTTGCCAAGTCAGGGTAAGACAGCCATTCTGCCTCCCTGCTGTTGTTGTGGTCTGTCAAGTTCTCTTGGCCTTAGCCAAAACTGGGTGTACCAACATTGCTGTGAGACCTAGGGTGACTGTCCAGGTGGCTTGCTGTTTCTGTCCTTGCTGCACCTTTTGGAAGTTGTCCATCCGTACTTCCTGTCTACTCTAGTATCGTTATTTTCTTCTCAGGTCTTGATGAGGTTGAAGATTAAACTAATACAACTATTATTCTCTCTTCCTAGTTAGATATATTAGGTACTAGACTTAAGTTTTCCAGCTTAGGACAACTCTATTGTAAACTCCATTATGCCTTCATCCTAGGACTAGATATGTAGGTCATTTTGTTCTCAATTTTCCTTTTCTTAGAGCACACTTGTTATTCACTGTTTTGTGTATAGTTTTGTATTAAGCCTATATCTTTTCTTTAGACTAAAA